GAGCGCCATCTAGGAGTAGCTCTGCGATACGGGAGGGGGCAAAAGGAATGCGGCAAGGAGAGCAACAGACCCTTCTGTCAACTTTACCTTGTTCTTATTCCCATACTCGGCTAGGGGTCACATTTTTGGCGTCTAGATATTTCTGTTCCGATCTGGTCGTGAAAGGATCAAGTTGTGCTAGAGGAAAATAATATATCTGAACTCTAATTTTTGTGCTCAGCCAACCCAGAAAGACGAGGCAGAACAGCAGATTTAATATACAGCGCAGCGCTAGGCCCTAACTGGTAAGTTTTTAAAGCTTGAGGTTTGGTGGACTAAAATTTAGCTGAAAAATTAATTTTTATTAAGTTCGGCGCTTAAGAAATATAAATTAGTCTCGGCCGAAAATGAATTACACAATAGTTGAGTGGATTTTGCAAATGAAGAGAAAACCGAAGCATGCAACGAAATCCCGAAGTAGTGCAGCCAAAAAGTCTAAAACCGGCGCCCCTGCTCGAGTGTTTTGAATTCCCGCAGGAGCTTATCAATCGATTCACGCCCACAAACTTAAAAAAATCGTAAATATGAACGCGGATATCAATATCGGAAACTATTAAGACAGAGAATTGGGATCTCAGATTTAGATTCCGAAGCCTTGTACGCAGCGAAAGTTTGTAACGCGAATATGCCACGACCACTCTAACGCCCTCAAACCGCACAAATCTGTGGACGAGACAGAGGCCTTTGTGCCTTTGCCTAGCTACGGGAAAATTCCGCCAAGTCCAATTTAAATCCTCAAGGGCCAACAAAAATGGTTAGAAATTTGTAATTGGTAAAAATTTGAGGAAATGTACCCGATAATATAAAAGGAAAAAAGGGAAAAATCTACAGAAAGGAAAAGTTAAACAGCAGTCGAGAAAAAAATAGTCGATGTTTTATTTAAGTTCTAGTTTTAGAATCATTTTTTTCATTTTACTAATTAGATAATGGCCATGTGGATGAGAAAAAAACGACCGAAAATGATGAAAAAAAGGCAAAGGCGAAATTGAGTGGTTTTAAATTCGATTGAGTGATTTGGTGATTTCTGTCTTTTTTTATTGTTATAAATGCATTAAAAGATAAGTAAATTACTTATAATGTTGGCGCCGGGAAAAAAAAATATTATCTAAATTTCTAGGTTTTTCTCAGAAAAGCGCTTTCCTCGAGGAGGACATCAGCAGCAATTCGGTGAGCGAACAGAAGTTCCTAATACTTCTTAAAAGAATACTATAACAAACAAAAAAAATAATCCCAAGTCTAAGGAAAGATATGCGATAGGTAGCAAGGTAAAAATATATGATAGATAAATGAAAGTTTAAAAAAAAATTAATGGCAGATAGGTAATTAACAGATCAAGAAAATACAAAGAAATTTATTTGTTTATGGTTTTTTGTTGGTAGCAAAACGGTCAAGGGAAGGGGGGCGATCTAAATCTCTATCGATATCCGAGATTTTCAGGTGTTTAAAGATTAGATAAAATGCAAGAGACCCCCTAATTTTAAATTCTGTAGTATGTCTGTGTAGTATTTCGTCCCTTTGTTTTGGATTGTCCTTCCACGCGATTATTTTACATTTAATAATGAAAATAAGAAGCAAGGGCCTACACCTCTAGTCGACGAGCCAAGCAGGAGAAAAATTCGCGTGAGCGCTTCTTTAGAAAACATCTTAGCCTTAACAGTTGTGAATGTTCGTTACACATCCTGCCTTTTTCTGCAATTTTGTGTCTCCTTTATCGATTTCATCTCGTCTTATTGGTTACATTTGTATCAAATATTTTCCAAAATCCATACTTCTCATCCTTCTAGCTAATGAATAGACTAACTAGCTGTAATTGTCTACATTTTTATTTAAGATAATCCAAAATATGCACCCCACAACTTCTATAATGTTCTACACACCCAATTCAAACACTATAAATGATCGAGGACAATAGATAGTTTACCAAAACCTACCCTGCTACGTCGAGTACCCGTGATCCCCAAGCTGTTGAAAATTGCTCAACTGTAGGAGCCATCCGTTCAGAGGCTTTGTGACCAATAGCATACTTCGGAGAAAGTGCCAATCAAAGCTAAAGTGAACTTATGCATAACTAAAAACCAATATCCTCAAGTAATACAATCGGAAAGAAAACATTCAAACATGCATACATTTAAACCAACCGAATCGATAGACAAAGTGCGAACCATGATGAACCATTAGAGAAGACGAGTCAATTCACCATCCGTTGAAGAAGTCTCATGCCTCTGTATTATATAAGTGAATTGGTATTGTTCATGTCGAACAAGGCAGAGTGCAACATTGCTGGGTTGGCATGACTGGTCGATGTTTCCGAACCGGTTAAAAAGCGCTCTATCTGTTCCTAGAATACCCGATAGACTAAGCTCACGCCATGTTAGTCCATTGGAGAATAACAAGTGAAATACGAAGCAAGTAAACGCAACCCCTCTGTTCTATTTCTTTGAGAAAAACTTGGACGATTCTTGGCACAGACCCACCCCAACATTTGGTCCTTCGAGCCGGATTTCTTTTCATCGTTTTCCACAAGCTAAATAATTCTAAAGTTTTTTGCACTTGCGATAAAATTTATATATATATTTCTTCCACACAGCCCCGCTTCACCGCCTCCATTTTCTGAAAATATATATATTTATATATTTTGTTTATCTTTCCCATCGGAAGCATAATCTGCTCACCACAAGTGGCACATTCCGCGCAAGTTCCACAAAATATATCGACATATATTTGTATATTATCAGCACAAACCCCGTTCCGCCAAATTGGCCGCTCGACCGGTAAGGCCTCCATTTTGTGCGAAAAAAATATATATATTTTTTTTTTTTTTGATCTTTCCGATCGGAAGCATAATCTGCACACCACAAGTGGCACATTCCGCACAAGTTTCACAAAATGTATTGACATATATTTATATATACAAAGTCAGCACACACCCCCGTTCCACCAAATTGGCATCCCTTTTTTCTGAGAAAAAATATACATATGCGTAGATGTAGTTAAGATATATGAGTTATGAATTTCAGCGCAATTTAACAAAATTAAAACACAAAAAAAATTTAATATAATCCTGACATATACACATATACAAGTTATATATCTAGATTATTGTATAGATAAAACTTTTTACAGTGTCGTTATTTTTGGTTAGTTTCTCTCGCCCTTCATTCGCTGGCTTTTGCAGATAACGCTGTGGATCTTATCAACATGCTCAAGCTCAAGATAAGCCATCGAATAAACGGTTAAGTTAACACGAGGCGCCAGTCAATTATGCTGTACCTCTTCATAAGAGTTCCTAATAAAGACTTTAATTATGCGCTTAATGAAGAAATTAGTTATTCTAATAAAATTCGCATTAGTCATCTAAATAGTGAAGAAAGGAAATCAATAATGAATTTAATAATATCGTATGGAGATCTACAATTTGTTGAAGGTGACAATTTGACCTTTACACATACCATTAAACACATAATAAAAACTAAACATGAAAGTCCTGTCTATGTAAAACCATACAGATACCCATACATTTATAGAGATGAGGTCGAGAAGCAAAAAAAAGAATTAATAAGTCAGGGTATAGTTCGAAAATCATCTTCTCCGTATTGTAATCCAATATGGATAGTCCCAAAGAAAGATAATGCCTCGGAGACAACGAAATTTCGCTTAGTGATCGATTATAGACACTTAAAGAATATCACTATTAGCGACAAATTCCCAATTCCTAATATTGATGAAATATCAGACAAACTGCGAAAATGTCAGTACTTTTCGACCCTTGACCTTGCCAAAGGATTTCATCAGATCGAGATGGACCCGGAGTCCATAGAAAAAACCGCATTTTCAACACAAAACGGTCATTATGAGTACACTCGAATGCCTTTTGGGTTGAAAAACGCACCGGCGACATTTCAAAGGTGTATGAATGAGATTCTTAAAGATTTAATTGGTGTTCACTGCTTAGTTTATCTCGACGATATCGTTATTTTTTCTACGTCACTGCAGGAACATAACCTTTCAATTTTTAAAGTTTTCGATAAATTAAGAGAAGCTAATTTAAAATTACAATTGGAAAAATGCGAATTTCTAAAACGTAAAACAAACTTTCTTGGTCATATAATTACACCTAATTGTATTAAGCCGAACCCAAGCAAAATAAAAGCCATATTAGATTTTTTCATCCCAAAAACATGTGGTTTTTATAAAAAGTTTATTAAAACTTTGCTAAAATTGCTAAAACTATTACAAAATGCTTAAAAAAGGGACAGTCAATCGATATAAATAACATAGAATACAAAAGCGCATTTAACAAATTAAAATTATTGATTAGAAGTGATCCTATTCTAACTTATCCAAACTTTAATAAAAAATTTACATTGACGACGGACGCCAGCAACTTTGCTTTAGGTGCAGTTTTGTCGCAGGACCAGAATCCAATTTGTTTTGCAAGCCGCACTCTTAACGAACATGAGACTTGGTATTCAGTTATAGAAAAAGAATTATTGGCGATAGTGTGGGCAACCAATTACTTCCGCTGTTACCTTTACGGTAGAAAGTTTAAAATTATTTCCGATCACAAACCTTTGGCTTGGTTACACAATGTAAAAGAGCCAAACATGAAGTTACAGAGGTGGATAATCAGACTAAACGAATACGACTTTGAAATTGAACACATTAAAGGCAAACCAAATTTTGTAGCAGACGCTCTTTCCAGAGTAAACATAAAAGACAGAAGTCAAGAAGCGGCGACAAACTTTATAAACAACGAATCAGATTCACTTGTATCTGGAACTGAAGATTTTGAATCATTAGTCCCTACAATTCATAGTGCAGAAGAAGATGGCTTTCTAGGTATTCCAATTACAGAGCGTCGTCTGAATATTTATAAAAGACAATTAATATTCATAAAAGTGACAAAGAAAAAGTCGATGTAGAAAAAATATAAAATCGCACTATTATAAAATATTTTATTCTGAAATGACCAGTGAAAAGGGAAGCGATATAATACTAGAAGCCATTTGTGGACGAACCTCTACTACTTTGTTCGAAAATATTAATGATTTTGTTATTTTTCAAATAATATAAAATATATAAATATATATATATAATATAATAATATATAAAAATTATTCGACCAAACACTGGAACTAAACTCTATAAAGCTACAAAAAATCTTATAAATATAAGTAGCTATTCAGAATTTAAAGACCTTATTATTAAAATACACAAAAATAAAATTCATCAAGGAATACAAAAAATGATAATAGACTTTAGAAACTCATATTTTTACCCAGACTACATAAAATTAATACAAAACATAATTAACGAATGCAATACGTGTAATACGTGTAATTTATATATTTCTTCCGCACAGTCCCGCTTCACCGCCTCCATTTTCTGAAAATATATATATTTATATATTTTTTTTTATCTTTCCCATCGGAAGCATAATCTGCTCACCACAAGTGGCACATTCCGCGCAAGTTCCACAAAATATATCGACATATATTTGTATATTATCAGCACAAACCCCGTTCCGCCAAATTGGCCGCTCGACCGGTAAGGCCTCCGTTTTGTGCGAAAAAAAAAAATATATATATATTTTTTTGATCTTTCCGATCGGAAGCATAATCTGCACACCACAAGTGGCACATTCCGCACAAGTTTCACAAAATGTATTGACATATATTTATATATACAAAGTCAGCACACACCACCGTTCCACCAAATTGGCATCCCTTTTTTCTGAGAAAAAATATACATATGCGTAGATGTAGTTAAGATATATGAGTTATGAATTTCAGCGCAATTTAACAAAATTAAAACACAAAAAAAATTTAACATAATCCTGACATATACACATATACAAGTTATATATCTAGATTATTGTATAGATACAACTTTTTACAGTGTAGTTATTTTTGGTTAGTTTCTCTCGCCCTTCATTCGCTGGCTTTTGCAGATAACGCTGTGGATCTTATCAACATGCTCAAGCTCAAGATAAGCCATCGAATAAACGGTTAAGTTAACACGAGGCGCCAGTCAATTATGCTGTACCTCTTCATAAGCTTTAACTTTAAGAGGAGTTCCTAAGTCACTGTTAACGAGAATAGAACGTGTAATAAAAGTCTGTCCAACAAACACATACAAGGAAAACTTCAATTAAAGTAAAATAAAATAAAATAATTACTTAAATTAACTTCACACAATTGGCGCAGTCGGTGCGGTCTGAAAAAAAAAACCCAGACCCGCAAAAGAATTTTATGAACAGATCCCCAACAGGTGGACTTACAACGCTCGACGAACAAAAATTCGCAAACAAAACTTAAACAAAAATCAGCCAGCTGAGTAAAAGTTTAAGTTGCGAATAAGAACAGCACAGGATGGCAGGAGAACATGTCCTTTCGGATCCCAATGCTTAACACAAATCCGACAAATACCTCCGTTTAATGGCGCTTTTCATCAAAAGAGTCGAACACCAACTTGGCCTGTACCCCACCAATAACCCAGTCCAGTCCAGCATTATTAATGTTGGAGCCCTCGAGAACCTCATCATTGGAAACGTTCAACACTTGCTCATGCGATCAACACCACGAGGCTGGACCTGAAGGACCTACTAATCGGGGAGTATAACACCCAAACACCAATCCCTCAATTACTTATTGATATTTACAAAATTAAATATTCTGGAAATTTAAGAAAATTTGTCGATGACTTAGAACTGAAATCATTCATCATTTGTAATAAATTACATTTAGATGGCAGTATAAATAATAGATACCTGTTCACCAAAGCAATGAACTCAGCTGTTTGTGAAATTATTCGAAAAGAATTACCAAACCGAATATATATGTCAGTGTGTATATTGATGTTAGTACCCCAAGTAAATTAGGACATGTTGCTCAAGAACTTGGAATTTATGAAAATTAAGCAACATCAAAATTATTCAAATAAGAAATATTTTAACAACCCTCAAATGCTTCCTTATTTTGAGTACCAGCCTCCAATTATGCAAAACCGAAATTGATTTAATCCATTTTATCAGAATACTATTCAAAATATAAATAATAATCACCCATATCCACAGATTAATCAGCAAGTCCAAAGTCAAAATTATTTTAGAAATCAAGCTAGGCAAAGTAGAAACGATAGATTTGGCAACAACAGGTTCCAAAACAATTATGATACCAGAAACATTCAACAAGCCAATTCAAAAAATTATTGGTCTTTCGAATTTCAAAATCAGAAAAACTGGAAAAACTGCAGCATCAATATTTTTATTTAACGAAGAGCCAGCGATAGACGTAAAACAAAATAAGGAAGATATAATACAGCGATTAAATAAAGAGGGAAGGGAACATGAAATTGATACACCTTTTGCCAAAGTAGATATGCAACTAAAAAGAAAATTAAAATTGATAACCCATTTAGGAAAAGTAAACATATATCTAAGCTTGATGATACTCATTATAAGGAATATATTAACAATAGAAATATAAGGCGACACAGATCTAAATTTAAACGATTGAAATTAATTAGAAATTCATAGTACTCAAATGAATACGAAAGGAACAAAATGCTAATTCAAATGATAGTCGCAGCGAACAAGTTTAGTTGTATAAACACCACTTAAAATCCATTGTAATTTGTTTTTTTAAAGTAAATATTATATATTAACGAGGACGTTAATCATTCTTAAGAGGAGATGAGTTATATATGTATCTAGATTATTGTATATATAAAACTCTTACAGTGTAGTTATTTTTGGTTAGTTTCTCTCGCCCTTCATCCGCTGGCTTATGCAGATAACGCTGTGGATCTTATCAACATGCTCAAGCTCAAGATAAGCCATCGAATAAACGGTTATGTTAACACGAGGCGCCAGTCAATTATGCTGTAGCTCTTTATAAGCTTTAACATTAAGCGGAGTTCCTAAGTCATTGTCAACGAGAAAAGAACGTATAATATAACTCTGTCCAAGAACTACATATAAGGAAAACTTCAATTAAAATAAAATAAATTAAATTTAAAATTAAATAAAATCCATCCACCGTGCAATACCCAATACCCGCATTTTCCCTTTGTTAAATTACAAGTACTTTGACGGCATCAGTCATAAACACTTTGTTTCTTCTTTAAAAACCAGTTTTTCTCCCTACGCGGCATCCCGAACGGAAAACACAGCCCAATAATCGTTTAGCTGATATTTCAGTAGATTTTAATTATTAGGGGTATTTACATTGCGCACTGGTATGTGTGCCGTCATACATGGTGTTCCGAGCATTCCGTACTGCAACGCGTCGCATAAGGGCTAAGACAGGCCGTTCACACTGCACTGCATTTGGGACGTCGGTAAAAAGAAACTCTATAACTTTTCCAAACTTACACATATATATATAAATATACTTATTTCAAAGTGTTTTAGCGAAAAATGAACTAAAAGCTCAAGTAGCGTTCCGATTTTACGTGTTCCGAATCCAACCCTTCTGGTTCAGTTTATGATTTATTCTATCCAACCACATATTATTTTTCTTTAATTTATATCCTTTAAGCGTATACATCCAAATCAAATTCCAGCACAATAATATATCGTATCCACTAACATATAAGTATTATTATATTATATATTATATTACATATGGTCTTTAATTTGAATTGTGTCGAAGTGTTTCATCCAAAAATAAAGTAGGTCCTCAAGCAGCGTTCCGATTCCACGCGTTCCGCATCCATTCCTTCTCCAAGATATACATCCATATCACAATCCAGCCAAGTAATATATCGGACCCACTTACACATTTTTATACCCGTTACTCGTGGAGTAAAAGGGTATACTAGATTCGTCGGAAAATATGCAACAGGCAGAAGAAAGCGTTTTCGACCCCATAAAGTATATATATTCTTGATCAGAATCACTAGCCGAGTCGATCTAGCCATGTCCGTCCGACCGTCTGTCCGTATGAACGCTGAGATCTCGGAAACTAAGAGCATCAATTCTGGATTAGGCATGCAGATTCCTGAGATTCCTGCGCAGCGCAAGTTTGTTTCAGCAATGTGCCACGCGGACTCAAATGCCCATATACCGCCCAAAACTGTGGCGCCTACAGTTTTGATGCTAGAATAATAACTTGAACTGAAACGTATTGTTCTCATCAGTACCTATCGATTGACCAAAAACAAGTTTGCCACGCCCACTTTAACGCCCACAAACCGCGAAAACCTGTGACGCCCACAATTTTCATGCTAGATAAAAAATTTTAACTGAAATGTATTGGTCTCGTCGATACCTATCGATTGATCCAAAAAAAAATTTGCCACGTTCACTCTAACGCCCATAACGCTTAAATCTGTATACCGCCGGTAGGTGGCGCATTTTAATCTCGCCTTGCTGCTTGCATATCTCCATATAGCTGAGTAACGGGTATCTGATAGTCGAGGTACTCGACTATAGCGTTCTTCCTTGTTTTTTGTTTCTGTTTATGAGATTCTAACATTAATCTAGCTCTCTTAAATGCTTGTTCTAGTCTAAACTTATATTCTTTAGCGTTGTCATCTATATTATATAGTGTTTTTTTTGGTCTATACTAATAAAATGTTTAGGTAAATTTTAAGTTTTGCCAAAAACTAACTCATATGGACAATAGTCATGTGCCATAGAGGGTGTTGTGTTGAAACAATAAACGAAGTATTGGAGTCATACATCCCAATCTGATTTATCAACTGAGATGTATGAGCGGATGAACTCATTACATGTTCTGTGTTTTCGCTCCACGGTTCCTACAGTCTGGTGATGGTGTGCGGTAGAATCTATGTTTTTGATATTAAAATTTTTTTTTCAATTATCAAATTTTTATATTTTCTTGTCCCCCGTCCGTACTTCAAAATAAAATCTTCGAATACAGCTTTTGCTTCCGTTTTGTTCTGAATTGGTATTGCCACAAGGTATTTAGTTAAATAGCAAATTAGGGTTATTGCATATTAATTTCCTTGTTCTGATTTAGGTAGTGGCCGATCGTACACACAATTACCCTGTCAAAAGCAATTTTTGGCGTTTCAGTAATAGTCAATGGTGTTTTTGTATGTTTGGTTGTTTTGGATTTTTGGCATTTTCTTATATAATTCGTTATATCTCGGGTCATATTTTTCCAATAAAAATTCCTTTTTATCTTTGCTAAGATCTATATGATCTATATGATCTCCTTTTATGCATCTTCACGGAATGTAAACAGTAATGCTTGTTTCTCTTTATCATTATTTGATAATAGGGTCACCGCATTGAGTAGCGCTACTCTTAAGGATTGTAATTTTTTATTGCCCATTATTTTAAAAGATTCCATTGAGATTGTGTCAAAGATCTTTTTGCTCGGTGCCACTTTGAGTTGGCTGATATTTAGTATACCGGCTTCATTTTCAAGCCTTTGAAAGAACTGACCTAAGTCGAAAATTCCATTGATGTACATATCGCTAACATCAATTCCCGCTATAACTTTTTTTTATGCTTCAGTAAGCATAGTGAATCTGTTATTCGCAAGGTCACTACTCTTCGTACCTCGTCAATGACTTCGTATACGTTGGGCTGAGAAGCTTTACTTAGAGTTTGCCTAGGCAAATCTATTTTTTCTTTTCTTTTCCTGCGCAGAAATTTTTCTGTTTACTTTGGTTTCTGATAGTGACTCCCAGAACTTTATTATTCGTTTGAATATTTTTAAAGTCCGTTATAGTTATTCTTGAAAGCGCGTCGGCTATATGATTTTCCTTTCCCTTTCTGATAGTGACTCCCAGAACTTTATTATTCGTTTGAATATTTTTAAAGTCCGTTATAGTTATTCTTGAAAGCGCGTCGGCTATATGATTTTCCTTTCCCTTAAAATATTCTACAGTAAAATCATATTCTTCTAAGTCTTATCTCATTCATGTTAGTTTTGAGCTCGGGCTTGTCATTGAAAATAAGTAAGTTAATGGCCTATGGTCTGTTTTGACTGTGAAATGTCTTCCATAAATATATGGTCAAAAATAATTTATCGCCCAGTGGATAGCTGCTAACTCTTGTTCAGTTGTATTTTTGTTGCTTTCTCCTTTTGTAAATAATCTTAATGCATAGGCTACTGATAGCTTGGTGTTATTGTAATCTTGAGTTAGAACTGCTTAAAATCTGGATAATGCAGTAGTGTGGGTATCATCAATTGAATTTTATTCGAATGTTTAGTTGTGTTGTGTTTCCTACATAAATCAAAAACGTTTTTGAGATTTTTAATCGTGTGCTTTTCTGAACAACTTATGACATGTCATCCATATACAAAAATGCCTGTGAAGGTTCTATACCTGAATATGCAATTGTCACATTCTTTGAAAAGAATTTGGCGCTATTTTTAAACCATAAGGTATTCGCGTGAAGCGATAGGAGCCATTGCTCGTGGAAAAGGACGTTACATTTCTAGACGTTTCTTCGAGTTCTATTTGATGAAATCCTGACAACAAATCTAAACATGAAAAGTATTTAGCTCTACCTAGTTGGGCAAGAATATCGTCTATTCTTGATAGTGGATATTTATATGATAAATTTTTTTTTGTTAATTTGGCGGTAATCAATTACTAAATGCCATCTCTTAGTATCGCAACCTGGTAATGATATTTTTGGGACGAATAATAATGGACTGTTGTATTCAGAAACTGAAGTTTCTACTATTTTGTCTTTAATTAATTTTTCTACTTCGTCTTTTTGACTGTGTGGAATTCTATATTTCTTTATCTTTCATTCTTACTTTTTTTTTTTAAATTATTAGTTGATATCGATTTGGATTCTATTCCGAATATATCTGTGTATTTCGTGCATAATTTATTAAGTGTTTCCTTGAACTGAGGTGCAAAATTTTTTTTCAGTATGTCTAAAATTTCTTCTTTGTTTTAATTTTTATTAGATTTAATTATGTCGTAATCATCCAATGGTTCAACTTTCAATGTATTTAATCGAATGATTGCAGTTTTATCAGTTGTATTCAAAATTGGGACAAAAGTGTTTTTAGGATCTGCAATGGAATTTCCAACGAATACTCCGTTTTGGATTTCTTGGTTTGATATTAATATATACCTGGTTGCTGAATTTATAACAATTTTAGGACTACTTCGGATTTTGCTGGTTAAATTGTCAAATTATTTTGGGATGAATGGGATTATAGAGGTTATCTGGTCTCAGTATGAGCCAATCATTTTCTGGTTTTAGATCTATTTGACAGTTGCATTTTTCATAGAATCTATGCCTATAATTCAATCACATGGAATAGGAAAATTTGATGTTACTATATGAAAATTATGTTCTATTGATACTAATCCTTTTGAGTTGGTTGTTCCTTCACCAACACTTGATATTTGGGTAATATTTTTATAGTCAAAATTTTTAAATGAGTCCGAAGTTTCTTTTATTAAAGAGATGTCTGCACCTGTATCAACTAATAATGTATATAATTTATTTGTTTGTTCATTTTTAAAAAAGAAAAAAGATTGAAGTTAAGATTGATAGCGTGAACCGTATTCTTTACAGGGTTTTTTATCTTAACGGTCTTTATTGGTTTTCCGACGTGGCTTGTACCAGTCGGACATTATTATTATAGTTTTGTCTGTTTGTATTTGTATTGTTGTTGTTGTTATTGGTGTTTCCACCACGGTTCTTTCCTCTATAACAGTGGTCGGCACACACATACCATCACAAGTTTGCCTTGCATTAGTGCAGTGGTCGGCACACATACCATCACAAGTTTGCCTTGCATTAGTGTGAGTGTAACAAACACGAAGTTTGCGCGCGGCGTGCTGTAGCGAGACGTTTCTCTGCTTTGCACTGAGATCCTTTGCCGCAGCAACAAAAAAGCGAGCCGAAGTTCAGAAAAAAATGACCCGAAGACCCATGCCGAAGTCACACGAACATGTACGTTATACGTGAGCGAGCAGAGGATGGGCAGAACACTTCCCTATGCTCACTAGATAGGCCGCTGCCGACCACTGCATTAGTGTGAGTGTAACAAACACGAAGTTTGCGCGCGGCGTGCTGAAGCGAGACGTTTCTCTGCTTTGCACTGAGATCCTCTGCCGCAGCAACAAAAAAGCGAGCCGAAGTTCAGAAAAAAATGACCCGAAGACCCATGCCGAAGTCACACGAACATGTACGTTATACGTGAGCGAGCAGAGGATGGGCAGAACACTTCCCTATGCTCACAAGATAGGCCGCTGCCGACCACTGCTCTA